CCCTCAAATTGTTCCATGCTGCTCGTTTTTGCAGAGTATACTGTTACCTCCCCGCTTATTATCTTTAGTAGACCTGCTGTGAGCCATAAACCAGCACTTGAATTAGTACAGTGTTTCTCAACCTGGACCGTGCTCTACTTGAATATCAAGCAAAAAGTGGGCGCTACAAATAATATCGCACGAAAGGTGCCTGACATAGCCTGGGGTTCACAACTAGACACAATGAAGGCATCTGCCTTTATGCTTTGCTATTCTGCTGGTGAATACGCATGCCCAGTGTGGAATACATCTCACCAAGTTAAAACAGTGGATGTGGCTCGTAATGAGACATGCTGCATTATCACAAGATGTCTATGGCATATGCCGCTAGAGAAATTATACTCCATCTGATACTGCCCCACCTGGGAAGTGGCAGACAATAATGAAAAGACTAAGGCATTGACATCTTCAGCCGATCCTCTGTTCAGATATCAGCCAGCACACCAATCATGAAATAGCTTCCTAAGATCTACAGAGAAACACACAGAAACACCTCAGCAAGCAAGAGTCCAAAAGCGGCAGGTTAAAACCCGGAAACTCAATCAGTGGCTGATACTGGAGAAGTGGCTGATACTTGATGACAACGTCATCTGTGCAGACTCAGAAGAAGACCTACAAGCCACTCTAAACACCTCCGCAGAAGCATACAAGAAGCTCAGCCTGTCATTGAACATCGAGAAAACCAAAGTCCTCTTCCAGCAGTCACCGGCCAATCCCTCTGGCACAACAACATCTGTTATAAAACTCCAGTATGCTGATGACAATGTCGTTTGTGCGCATTCAGAAGAAGACCTACAAGCCACTCTAAACACCTTCGTAGAAGCATACGAGAAGCTCGGCCTCTCATTGAACATCGAGAAAACCAAAGTGCTCTTTCAGCAGTCACCAGCCAACCCCTCTCCAATGCCAGAGATACAGTTTAATGGTGTAACATTAGAAAAGGTTGACCATTTCCACTACCTCAGCAGCCCCTCTCCACAAAATTCAACATTGACACTGAAATACAACACCGCCTGAGCTCTGCGAGTGCAGCATTCTTCCGAATGAAGCTGAGAGTGTTTGAGGATGGGATATCCATAGGGATACCAAGGTGCTTGTTTATAAAACTATTGTCCTCCCAACCCTACTGTGGCAGCCACCTCTCCACAAAAAGTCAACATTAACACTGAAATACAACACAGCCTGAGCTCAGTGAGTGCAGCATTCTTCCAAATGAAGCAGAGAGTGTTTGAGGACCGGGATATCCGTAGGTAGACCAAGGGGCTTGTTTATAAAGCTATTTCCGCTCCCGTGGCAGCCACCTCTCCACAAAAGTCAACATTGACACTGAAATACAACACCGTCTGAGCTCTGCGAGTGCAGCATTTTTCTGAATGAAGCAGAGAGTGTTTGAGGAATGGGACATCCATAGGGAAACCAAGGTGCTTGTTTATAAGGCCATTGTCTTCCCAATCCTGCTGTGTCAGCCACCTCTCCACAAAAGTCAACACTGACACTGAAATACAACACCACCTGAGCTCTGCGAGTGCAGCATTCTTCCGAATGAAGCTGAGAGTGTTTGAGGACCGGGACATCTGTAGGGATACCAAAGTCCCTTGGCAGCCACCTCTCCACAAAAGTCAACATTGATACTAGAATACAACACTGCCTGAGCTCTGCGAGTGCATCATTCTTCTGAATGAAGTAGAGAGTGTTTGAGGACATGGACATCCATAGGTATACCAAGGTGCTTGTTTATAAAGTGATTGTCCTCCCAACCCTGCTATACGCCTACAAGATGTGGACTATCTACAGACGTCACACTCAACTCCTGGAAGAATTCCATCAGCGTTGCCCCCGAAAAATCCTGCAAATCTCTTGGGAAGACAAGCGGACAAATATCAGCATGCTGGAAGAAGCAAAGACCACCAGCATTGAAGCGATGGTCCTCCGCCATCAACTCCGCTGGACCGGCCATGTTGTCCAGATACCCGACCACCGTCTCCCAAAGCAGTTGCTCTACTCCGAACTCAAGAATGGAAAACAGAATGTTGGTGGGCAGGAAAAGAGATTGAAAGATGGGCTCAAAGCCAACCTTTAAAACTCTGGCATAGAGACTGAGAACTGGGAAGCCCTGGCCCTTGAGCGCTCCAGCTGGAGGTCAGCTGTGACCAGCAGTGCTGTAGAATTTGAAGAGGCACGAATGGAGGGCGAAAGAGAGAAACGTGCCAAGAGGAAGGCGCATCAAGCCAACCTCGACCAGGACCGCCTTCTGTCTGGAAACCAATGCCCTCACTGCGGGAGAAGATGCAGATCAAGAATAGGGCTCCACAGTCACCTATGGACCCACCGCCAGGACACTACACTTCAAGGACCATCATCCTCAGATAACAAGGGATCACCTAAGTAAGTAGGTAATATTTGAAATCTGAGAGAGGGTTGCCATGGAAATGAGAGCAATGCAGAGGAAAGGCCGTGAAGGAAGTAAACTGTCAGTTGGAACTTTGTTGTGTTCGCTACTGCATACTTTTGAATTAAAGCTTTCCAACTTTGTGACGTAATTATTTCACCAGGAAGCTACAAAGCTACTATGCTTGGAGAACCATCATCCTCAGACTATGAGGGATCACCTAAGTAAGTAAGTAACATTTGAAATCTGAGAGAGGGTTGCCATAGAAATGGGAGCAATGCAGGGGAGGGGCCGTGAAGGAAGTAAACTGTCAGTTGGAACTTTGTTGTGTTCGCTACTGCATGCTTTTGAATTAAAGCTTTCCAACTTTGTGACATAATTATTTCGCCAGAAAGCTACAAAGCTACTACACTTGGAGGACCATCATCCTCGGACTACGAGGGATCACCTAAGTAAGTAAATAAGTATGATTAGGTTACGGATTTCTGAACAAGCATATGAGGAGGCTGGGAAAGACAAGCACAATCCCATTCTCAACAATATCTGCGGCGTGCTCGGCGATCCCAACCAGCCCAAAATGGTGAAGAAACACAATATCGCCCTTACCTGTGATTTGGAAAGCGTGAACTTCCTGTTCGGTTCCCTTTGGGCTCTCGAGTTCGGTCAGTTGGAGTTCTCTCAAGGGGAGCAAACCCTGCAAAAGCAGAACGACACAATCTTAGATGCATCAAACCGACTTCTCTAAAGAGCGCCACTCTCACATAAGGCCAGAGAGGAGATTATGCTCAAAAGGGCTACGTCAGTGTTTCTCTACCTGGGGGTCGCGACCACTAGAGGGGTTGCATAGGGGTTTCAGGGGGTCACCAAACACGATCGGAAGACATATATTTTTGATGGTCTTAGGAACCCCTTTGCAAGAGAAAGCTGAAGATCTCTCCGCCTGTCCTTCTCTTCCTTTTAGGAAACAGACACCATATCCACCCAACAAAAGTCTTCCTCCACTGTGATTGGCTGGCCTCTCAGCCAAGGGGAGGGCTGTTTCTGAGACTCCAAGCAGGGAGGGGAGAGCAGGCATGCTCGGCGCATGGCAGGTGGCGAATCCTCCCACCAAATCCCTCCTCTGCTGTGATTGGCTGGCCTCTCAGCCAAGGGGAGGGCTGTTTCTGAGACTCCAAGCAGGGAGGGGAGAGCAGGCATGCTCGGCACATGGCAGGTGGCGAATCCTCCCACCAAATCCCTCCTCTGCTGTGATTGGCTGGCCTCTCAGCCAAGGGGAGGGCTGTTTCTGAGACTCCAAGCAGGGAGGGGAGAGCAGGCATGCTCGGCGCATGGCAGGTGGCGAATCCTCCCACCAAATCCCTCCTCTGCTGTGATTGGCTGGCCTCTCAGCCAAGGGGAGGGCTGTTTCTGAGACTCCAAGCAGGGAGGGGAGAGCAGGCATGCTCGGCACATGGCAGGTGGCGAATCCTCCCACCAAATCCCTCCTCTGCTGTGATTGGCTGGCCTCTCAGCCAAGGGGAGGGCTGTTTCTGAGACTCCAAGCAGGGAGGGGAGAGCAGGCATGCTCGGCACATGGCAGGTGGCGAATTCTCCCACCAAAATCCCTCCTCTGCTGTGATTGGCTGGCCTCTCAGCCAAGGGGAGGGCTGTTTCTGAGACTCCAAGCAGGGAGGGGAGAGCAGGCATGCTTGGCGCATGGCAGGTGGCGAATCCTCCCACCAAATCCCTCCTCTGCTGTGATTGGCTGGCCTCTCAGCCAAGGGGAGGGCTGTTTCTGAGACTCCAAGCAGGGAGGGGAGAGCAGGCATGCTCGGCGCATGGCAGGTGGCGAATCCTCCCACCAAAAGCCCTCCTCTGCTGTGATTGGCTGGCCTCTCAGCCAAGGGGAGGGCTGTTTCTGAGACTCCAAGCAGGGAGGGGAGAGCAGGCATGCTCGGTGCATGGCAGGTGGCGAATCCTCCCACCAAAAGCCCTCCTCTGCTGTGATTGGCTGGCCTCTCAGCCAAGGGGAGGGCTGTTTCTGAGACTCCAAGCAGGGAGGGGAGAGCAGGCATGCTCGGCACATGGCAGGTGGCGAATCCTCCCACCAAATCCCTCCTCTGCTGTGATTGGCTGGCCTCTCAGCCAAGGGGAGGGCTGTTTCTGAGACTCCAAGCAGGGAGGGGAGAGCAGGCATGCTCGGCGCATGGCAGGTGGCGAATCCTCCCACCAAAAGCCCTCCTCTGCTGTGATTGGCTGGCCTCTCAGCCAAGGGGAGGGCTGTTTCTGAGACTCCAAGCAGGGAGGGGAGAGCAGGCATGCTCGGCGCATGGCAGGTGGCGAATCCTCCCACCAAAAGCCCTCCTCTGCTGTGATTGGCTGGCCTTTCAGCCAAGGGGAGGGCTGTTTCTGAAACTCCAAGCAGGGAGGGGAGAGCAGGCATGCTCGGCACATGGCAGGTGGCGAATCCTCCCACCAAAGGCCCTCCTCTGCTGTGATTGGCCGGCCTCTCAGTCAAGGGGAGGGGTGTATCTGAGACTCCAAGCAGGGAGGGGAGAGCAGGCATGCTCGGCACAAGGCAGGTGGCGAATCCTCCCACCAAAAGCCCTCCTCTGCTGTGATTGGCTGGCCTTTCAGCCAAGGGGAGGGCTGTTTCTGAAACTCCAAGCAAGGAGGGGAGAGCAGGCATGCTCGGCACATGGCAGCGTGGTGTGCATGTGCGGAGGAGGGAGAGCAGGTGTGCTAATGGTCTTAGGAACCCCTTTGACAGCAATAGATCACACCAACTGAAATTAGGGCAGGGCTTTAGCACAGCTGGTTAATCGCCAACAGCAATAAAGCACACCAATCGAAATTAGGGCCAGGCTTTAGCACAGCTGGTAACCACCAACAGCAATAGATCACAACAATCTCTCCATCTGTCCTTCTCTTCCTTTTTGGACAGCAAATCCAGCAAAAGCCCGGTCTCTCAGCCAAGGGGAGGGCTGTTTCTGAGACTCCAAGTAGGGAGGAACAAGGCCTATGAGGAGCGGCTTAAGGAGCTGGGCATGTTTAGCCTGAAGAAGAGAAGGCTGAGAGGGGATATGATAGCCATGTATAAATATGTGAGAGGAAGCCACAGGTAGGAGGGGCAAGCTTGTTTTCTGCTTCCTTGGAGACTAGGACGCAATGGAACAATGGCTTCAAACTACAAGAGAGGAGATTCCATCTGAACATGAGGAAGAACTTCCTGACTGTGAGAGCCGTTCAGCAGTGGAACTCTCTGCCCCGGAGTGTGGTGGAGGCTCCTTCTTTGGAAGCTTTTAAACAGAGGCTGGATGGCCATCTGTCAGGGGTGATTTGAATGCAATATTCCTGCTTCTTGGCAGAATGGGGTTGGAGTGGATGGCCCATGAGGTCTCTTCCAACTCTTTGATTCTATGATTCTATGATTCTAGGGGAGAGCAGGCATGCTTGGTACATGGCACTGTGGTGCACATGTTGCGGGCAAGGGAGAGCGTGCAAGTCTGGAGAGACTTGCCAAAAGTGCTCACATTTGGGCATACGATTACTCATGCCAAGGGGAGAGCTGTTTCTGAGACTCCAAGCAGGGAGGGGAGAGCAAGCGTGCTTGGCGTATGACAGCATAGTGCACATGTGCAGAAGAGGGAGAGCGTGCAAGGCTGAAGGGAGGTTTGCTCCAGTGAGTCCCTTCAAGGCAGGAGGGTTCTGCATGGAAAGATTGGACCAATTCTATCCTTGGTAGGATCTAGAATGCTCCTTGATTGTAAGTGAACTACAAATCTCAGCAACTACAACTCCCAAATCTCAAGGTCTATTTTCCCCAAACTCCACCACTGTTCACATTTGGGCATATTGAGTATGCATGCCAAGTTTGTCCCAGATCTATCATTGTTTGAGCACACAGTGCTCTCTGGATGTAGGTGAACTACAACTCCCAAACTCAAGGTCAATGCCCACCAAACCCTTCCAGTATTTTCTAATGGTCCTGGGAGTTCTGTGTGCCAAGTTTGGCTGAATTCTATCATTGGTAGGGTTCTGAATGCTCTTTGATGGAGAAACTGCTTAACTAGTATCACACCACCGGCAGGGGCGGCTAACCCATTACGCAAAGTAAGCCTTCGCAGTAGAGTTGATTTTGCCCAGGGGCGCTCTTGAGGCGCTCTTGGGGGGAAATAGACCTTGACATATGCGAGTTGTAGTTACTGGGATGTATAGCTCATCTCTGGCCCATATCCTCTATTCTTTTGGATTACAACTCCAGAATCCCGTAGGATGCTGGCCATGGTTGTTGAGGGATTCCAGGAGTTGCAATCGAAAAAAGTAACTTTTTCAGGTTTTGGTGTGTAACGGTTCACAGCAAGTTAAACCGCCATCTCCAGAAAATCTTGCCGACCAGAAGGTTGGCAGTTCACACCGCGGGCAGGGTGAGCTCCCGCCTTCAGCCCCAGCTTCTACTCACCTAGCAGTTCGAAAACAGCAATGTGAGTAGATAAATAGGTACCGCTGTTGGCGGGGAGGTAAAAGGCACCCCTGAAGACATGCTGGCAATTCGATCAGGAAGGCATCCACCGACAACAGACTCCTCATTATGGAAAATGAAACAAGAGCACCTCCCCATGGCTGAAGTTGAGCGCAGCCTCCAGATACCGGAGATGAAAAGGGGGAAGCCTTTGCCTCTATCTATGTATTGTCTGTCTTTGTTAATTGGTTAACAGCATTGAACATGGCAAAGTCTACTACAGGCTGACAGCACACAACCCTACACACATTATCTGGTTATTGGCTTTAGATTATGGTCGGCCATCTTTCAATGATGATTCTGTCCTTTACCTGGTAGGTGAGTCCATTTGGACCAAGGGACTGGAAATAGAGGTAGGCTTGAAAGAGCTCCAGGTAACAATCGTTCACTTCCTGCAACAGATAACAAGTACGGAAGCATTATTTGTATGCAAAAGAGACGTTTGGCAATTAGGGCCGGCCTTTAGCACAGCTGGTTAATCATCAACAGCAATAGATCACACCAATTGAAATTAGGGCCGGGCTTTAGCACAGCTGGTTAATAACCAACAGCAATAGATCACAGCAATCAAAATTAGGACTGGGGTTTAGCACAGGTGGTTAATCACCAATAGCAATAGATCACACCAATTGAAATTACGGCCAGGCTTTAGCACAGCTGGTTAATCACCAACAGAAATAGAGCACACTAATAGAAATTAGGGCTGGGATTTAGCCCAGCTGTTTAATCACCAACAGCAAGAGATCACACCAATTGAAATTAGGACTGGGCTTTAGCACAGCTGGTTAATCACCAACAGCAATAGATCACACCAACTGAAATTAGGACCGGGCTTTAGCACAGCTGGTTAATCACCAACAGCAATAGATCACAGCAATCAAAATTAGGACTGGGGTTTAGCACAGCTGATTAATCACCAACAGCAATAGATCACACCAATTGAGATTACGGCCAGGCTTTAGCACAGCTGGTTAATCACCAACAGCAATAGAGCACACTAATAGAAATTAGGGCTGGGATTTAGCACAGCTGTTTAATCACCAACAGCAAGAGATCACATCAATTGAAATTAGGGCCGGGCTTTAGCACAGCTGGTTAATCACCAACAGCAATAGATCACACCAATCGAAATTAGGGCCGGGCTTTAGCATAGCGGTTACTCACCAACAGCAATAGCTCACACCAATTGAAATTAGGGCTGGACTTTAGCACAGCTGGTTAATCACCAACAGCAATAGATCACACCAATTGAAATTAGGGCCGGGCTTTAGCACAGTTGGTTAATCACCAACAGCAATAGATCACACCAATCAAAAAGGTTGTTAGTCCAAAGCCTGGTCGGGACAGTGAGCATCCTATCTTCAGCCCAGCTCACTGTCCACCTAAGCAGTTCGAAAACAGCTGTGAGCCGTGAATCTCACATTCAAAACATAACATTCAGCTGGCCTTCTTTCACACAGTTCTTCAACTCTTTGATTTCCCAAGGCTACAGGACTCACCTGACAATGCTGGAACTTGAATTTGACCTTGGAGTAATAGATAATTTTCCCCAGGTTACGCACCACGGTCTTCCTCCTGCCCTTCTTGAACAGTCCTGGGAACCGCTGGTCAATGTTTTCCTTCCCATTTTCCTGGGCAGCGAGGCTCTGTAACAAAGATGCCAATGTTTTAGAAGATCATTCAAAGACATGTGGCGCAATGGGTTAAACCGCTGTAAGTTGGCATTTCGAAGCCACGGGTCGGAGTGAGCTCCCAACTGTTAGCCCCGGCTCCTGCCAACCTAGCAGTTCAAAAACATGCAAGTGTGGGCAGATGTAGATGTAGTTCTCCTACATCCAGAATGCACTATGAACCTAAACATGGATGGATCTGGACCAAATTTGGCACGCATACATGCTATGTCCAAATTTGAATACTGGTGGGTTTGGAGGGGAATTGGCCTGGATAATTTGGAGTTGTATGTACTGGGAATTATAGTTCACCTGCAATCACTGAGCACTCTGAATTCCACTGAAGATGGAACTGGACCAAACTTGACACTCTGAATCCCCATGACCAACAAAAAATACTGGAGGTCTTTGGGGACTCTGAGTGTGAGTTTCTTTATATACAGCAGCCAACACAATGAAGCTTCTTACATGATGGCCTTCAACCTGGGGCTTCTCACACCAGGCTTTCTCAAACTGAGGCCTACTAACACTGAGGCCTTTTTCCCACTGAGGCTTTCCTCACACTGAGGTGAACTAGCACTGAGGCTTACCTCACACTGATACCTTTCTCCCACTGGGGCCTTCTAAGCAGAGGCTGGATGGCTATCTGTTGGGGGTGCTTTGAATGTGACTTCCTTTATATTCAGCAGCCAACATACTGAAGCTTCACACACAATGGCTTTCAACCTGGGACTTCTCACACCAGGCCTTCTCAAACTGAGGCCTACTGATACTGAGACCTTTTTCCCACTGAGGCCTTCTCATAGACGTGAACTAACACAGAGTCCTACCTCACACTGATGCCTTTCTCCTACTGAGGGCTTCTAAGCAGAGGCTGGATGGCTATCTGTTGGGGGTGCCTTGAATGTGACTTTATTTATACACAGCAGCCAACACACTAAAGCTTCACACACGATGGCCTTCAACCTGGTGCTTCTCACTCTAGACCTTCTCAAACTGAGGCCAACTAACACTGAGGCCTTTTTCCCACTGAGGCCTTCTCACAGAGGCCTCTCTCAGACTGAGGCAAACTAACACTGAGGCCTACCTCACACTGACGTCTCTGTGAGAAGGCCTCAGTGGGAAAAAGGCCTCAGTGTTAGTTGGCCTCAGTTTGAGAGAGCCCTCTGTGAAAAGACCTCAGTGGGAAAAAGGCCTCAGTGTTAGTTGGCCTCAGTCTGAGAGAGCCCTCTGTGAGAAGGCTTCAGTGGGAAAAAGGCCTCAGTGTTAGTTGGCCTCAGTCTGAGAGAGCCCTCTGTGAGAAGGCTTCAGTGGGAAAAAGGCCTCAGTGTTAGTTGGCCTCAGTCTGAGAGAGCCCTCTGTGAGAAGGCTTCAGTGGGAAAAAGGCCTCAGTGTTAGTTGGCCTCAGTTTGAGAGAGCCCTCTGTGAGAAGGCTTCAGTGGGAAAAAGGCCTCAGTGTTAGTTGGCCTCAGTTTGAGAGAGCCCTCTGTGAGAAGGCTTCAGTGGGAAAAAGGCCTCAGTGTTAGTTGGCCTCAGTTTGAGAGAGCCCTCTGTGAAAAGGCCTCAGTGGGAAAAAGGCCTCAGTGTTAGTTGGCCTCAGTTTGAATGCGATTTTCCTGCTTCTTGGCCCATGAGGTCTCTTCCAACTCTATGATTCTATGACTTTGACTTGGGTGAAGAACATCATCAATCTTTGGTGATGATGTTTCCTCCTTGAGCAGACTCTTCCCCGTTATCGTTTTCAGAGCTTAACAATATCTTGATCCAATTAGATGCAGAAAAAGCCAGGGAAACCCAAGAGAAAGCGAAGTTGTGGATAATTAGCACCTTGTCACTAGTTAACCAGTTCCTCTCTAGCTGTTGACGGGGCTTCTGAAGTGGCTGCAGTTTGCCCATTCCAGCGAAGTGAGTCAAGCGAGGTGCCCGGGGCACAGCGCTCGTCTGGTTAATAACTGCTGAGCCTTCGTTTATCAAGTGGGCTCTTGCAGCTGTCTCCGTTGGCACCCATTCTTCAAAAGCAGGCACATAAGGATTAGGACAGGCTCATTCCGCAGTCTCTGCCCTCCTGGATCCTGCTCCCTGCCTGCTACTCGATCCCACGGTCTCCTCCAGGCTTCGGAATCCCTCCCCGAGATGCAAGCACACTTTTGACACCAGCGTATATACGAGTTGGCACTTGGAGTGTGCTTTAATGCATGCTTTCCAGTATTTGACAGGGTGAAAGATACCACAGTTGCTCTCTGGCTGGAGAAGCTGAGTGACAGCTGATGACAGTGGAGGGTGCGAAGATGCATTGCGAGCCCTTGGTGTGCGGTTGAGTGCCCATCATGGGTTTCTGGTGAACAGGTTTTGTGGGGCTTTCTGTTTTCTGAATCTTATCTAACCTGTTTACTGAGGTAAAGCAGAAAAGTAGGTACTAACACTGAGGCCTAACTCACACTGACATCTTTCTCCCACTGAGGCCTTCTAAGCAGAGGCTGAAGGCCTCAGTGTTAGTTCGCCTCAGTCCGCTCTGTGAGAAGGCCTCAGTGGGAGAAAGATGTCAGTGTGAAGCCTCAGTGTTAGTACCTACTTTTCTGCTGGAGGCCTCAGTGTTAGTTCATCTCAGTCTGAGAGAGCCCTCTGTGAGAAGGCCTCAGTGGGAGAAAGACATCAGTGTGACATAAGCTCAGTGTTAGTACCTACTTTTCTGCTGGAGGCCTCAGTGTTAGTTCATCTCAGTCTGAGAGAGCCCTCTGTGAGAAGGCCTCAGTGGGAGAAAGACATCAGTGTGACATAAGCTCAGTGTTAGTACCTACTTTTCTGCTGGAGGCCTCAGTGTTAGTTCATGTCAGCCTGAGAGAGCCCTCTGTGAGAAGGCCTCAGTGGGCAAAAGGCCTCAGTGTTAGTTCACCTCAGTCTGAGAGAGCCCTCTGTGAGAAGGCCTCAGTGGGAGAAAGACATCAGTGTGACATAAGCCTCAGTGTTAGTACCTACTTTTCTGCTGGAGGCCTCAGTGTTAGTTCACCTCAGTCTGAGAGAGCCCTCTGTGAGAAGGCCTCAGTGGGAGAAAGGCCTCAGTGTTACTTCACCTCAGTCTGAGAGAGCCCTCTGTGAGAAGGCTTTAGTGGGAGAAAGACGTCAGTGTGAGGTAAGCCTCAGTGTTAGTACCTACTTTTCTTCTGGAGGCCTCAGTGTTACTTCATCTCAGTCTGAGAGAGCACTCTGTGAGAAGGCCTCAGTGGGAGAAAGACGTAAGCCTCAGTGTTAGTACCTACTTTTCTGCTGGAGGCCTCAGTGTTAGTTTGAGAGAGAGCTCAAACTAACTAGTTTGTTAAGAGAGAGCTCAAACTAACTAACTAGCTCAAACTAACTAGTTAGAGAGCACTCTGTGAGAAGGCCTCGGTGGGAGAAAGACGTCAGTGTGAGGTAAGTCTCAGTGTTAGTACCTCCTTTTCTGCTGGAGGCCTCAGTGTTAGTTCGCCCCAGTCTGAGAGAGCCCTCTGAGAGAAGGCCTCAGTGGGAGAAAGACGTCAGTGTGACGTAAGCCTCAGTATTAGTACCTACTTTTCTGCTGGAGGCCTCAGTTTTAGTTTGCCCCAGTCTGAGAGAGCCCTCAGGTACATTTGAAAGCTTTAAGGATAACAGTGTAGAGAGTAAGAAACACTGGGATGTCTGTGGTGGAGAAGACTTGGGAAAATACAAGTTGTGCAATCCAGATCCAGATTGGAAGGTTTGACCAATGAGCAGTCTCTCTTAGACTCGTTATTGAGGTACGTTTAAGGATAACAGTGTAGAGAGTAAGAAACACTGGGGTGTCTTTGGTGGAGGAGACTTGGGGAAATACGAGTTGTGCAATCCAGATCCAGATTGGAAGGAAGGTTTGACTAATGACTCGTTACTGAGGTACATTTGAAAGCTTTAAGGATAACAGTGAAGAGAGTAAGGAACACTGGGATGTCTGTGGTGGAGGAAACTTGGGAAAATACAAACCCTTACTGGGGAGGTTGGGAGTTGTAATCCTAATGAAAAGAGTTTCCTAAGCTCCGCACTTGGCCCTATTTGGAGTGCCAAGGCGTTCTTGCTGCTCCTTTATCAATAGAGCTGTGACCTCAGGAAGTGCCAACATAACTGTCAACTGATAAGCGTATGCTTCATTGTTGTTGTATTTCAAGTCCCTGATGGGCTCAGAGATCAAGAAAGCCACGGCCGCACAATGAAAACAGCATTCCACATGCAAGCCGCAGACAGAAGGAGGATTCCGGCTGAAGTTTTTTTTCCACTGGTGTCTAATTATGAAGGCTAACCTTTCATTATTATGCCATCAGTCCTCCACTTTCTCCTGCCACAGAAAGACAACACAGAAAGACTCAGACTCCATGTTAGAAACAGTACAGTATGCCATTTTCCTTAACTCTGTGTTGTGTTCATGTGTTCAGATCTGGGATTGTTCAGGACTCAGATTCCATGTTAGAAACAGTATAGTATGCAGTTTTTCTTAACTCTATGTTGCAGGAGGGACTAGAGACCATGTGATCAGATCGGGGAGTGTTCAGCACTCAGACTCCATATTGGAAACAGTATAGTATGCCGTTTTCCTTAACTCTTTGTTCCGGGAGGGACTGCAGACCATATGATCAGATCTGGGATTGTTAAGGACTCAGACTCCATGTTAGAAACAGTATAGTATGCAGTTTTCTTTAACTCTATGTTGTGGGAGGGACTGCAGACCATGTGATCAGATCTGGGATAATTCAGGACTCAGAGTTTTCCTTAACTCAATATTGCGGGAGGGACTGCAGACCATATGATCACATCTGGGATTGTTCAGGACTCAGACTCCATGTTAGAAACAGTACAGTATGCAGTTTTCCTTAACTTTATGTTGTGGGAGGGACTGCAGACCATGTGATCAGATCTGGGAGTGTTCAGGACTCAGACTCCATATCGGAAACAGTATAGTATGCAGTTTTCCTTAACTCTATGTTGCGGGAGGG